AGGCAAAAGACCATTGAAGGACGGTTTGACAAAATGGAGATAAATCATGAACAATAAAAATTAACGAAAGTAATAAAGCTTTTATATTTATATTATATTTATTATTATTATTTTACTATTATTTACCATTAATATTTTACATTATAAATGTCGTAAAATTATTTTTTAATAAATTAATCCAGATGCTACGGTAATTACATGGCCGAAATCTATTGTGAAAATTTAAGCGAAATCCGCTGTGGTTTTCTATAATAAAATATATCTCAACAGGTAATATTAGAACATTTTTGCTTTAATTATTTAACTTTTATATTCAAATAAATTTACATTTTAGTTAATGTACAAACATATAAGTCTTTGACTTCTAGAACAAAGGACGCTTTGATTTAGATTTTCGGGGAAGTCAATCTGCCCCAATAAGAAAAATGCAAGCTCCAAATAAATACATAGGTAAAAAGCAATGACTTCGGTGAAGCAGTGCTTCGAAAAATTAAGGGAACCAATTATCAAAGATGGAAAACCACTGGGACAGCCCGCCGTGTCCTAGAAAAACTTTGGCCGGATACAAGAATAGCATCAAATGTACAAAATTGTTCAATTTATATTAAATCCAGTCAATGTAAATATTTTAAGATAAAGTTATAAGGAATTTGATAAGTATTACAAAGTTTTAAGTTTTAAGAAATGTTAGATATAAAGAGTCATAAAGAAAATTACCAAGAATTCAACTAGTAACAGATTAAATATCCAATTCAATTCCTCATAAATTCTATACTTTTTTTTTGGCAGTCTCTATTTTACCAAATGTAAGCGCAAATTCGATAGAACCTGAATTCCATATTTCCATGTTAACGTTCTATCTTGTATAGCTTTGACATTAAGATCATATGCGATGCCGTCTCGAACGAATGCTTGTAATGTTCCTTTACGACTTTAAAACTGTGATGTGCTGCAGTATCGGCTGATGGAAATGAATAGAATGTAACGATTAATATACATACGTTCTGTTGTAAATTCGATGTTACTTAAATTAAGGGAAACCAATAATCCTGCGTTATATACCGATCTTGGTTGGTTATGACAACATATTTGAGAACAAATTTATGTTTTTCTAAAATGAAGAAAAAAAAATTTATTAAAAATTATTATTCACGTACATACTCAGGATACAGGATAATAGGTCGTCGTTTCTCAAAAGTCTCTTTGATTTAACTTCCTCATTTGAGTCAAATAATCTACAATGGCTTGTTTATAACTTTATTGGGACGAGTAACCAAGGTTATTA